TTATTGGAAAAATCTGAATAATCAAGGCATGTCGGAGAAAACTGTGCATCTTTCCAATAATATTCCGGTATACATTGTCCATTATGACATCGATATTCATCTGATTTGCATTCATTCGTTTCTAATTCGAAGCAATCTGCTTCATCAACACCACCATTTAAACAATCAATTCGGCCATCACATATTTCACGCCAATCAAGACAAAGAAATGCTCCACCACGATCACATTCTAATAAAATGTAACATGTATGTTCTTGATTAACATCAATGATATCAAAGCGATTTATTTCTAAAGAGTATTGACATCGAGAACCAAACCAAGGTGTTGTACAATTAAAGAATAATAGATTAGATTGAAAAAATCGGTTCTGTTCATCAGAATAATTTTGATATAGTTCAGCAAGATCAATTGAACTAGACCAAGTGAATATATCATAAGCAGTAATATTCATCTGGAATAATTCATGAAATGTATAATATCTATCACGTGTATTATACTAGGGATGGGCGGCGTCAGTGACAATACTAAAAAAACTGGAACTTTCACACTGATACTGACAATCAGCGTGCGCTGAAAGTACACTGTCAGTATTCACTGATTTTCGGTGTTCACTGACACCGACAACACTGGAGGGCCGGTGCTTTTGCGTCAGTGACCAGTGATGCACTGATACTTTCGGTGCACTGAAAAAGTCGGTGATGCAGATCTCACTGACATCTTTGCATCAATTTATCTGTTACATTATGTAGTAAAGAATGATTATAATCGATAGGAAAAGTCTACAGATTAGATGCACATGGTTTTCAAAAGATAAATTAAAGTTTTATTTTAGAGACGTAACGAAAAAATATATCATCGAAGAATTTTATAAAAAATAATCATCACATCTTCGGTAAAAATGACTTGGTGTATACGAAAAGAAAGACACTTGTAGAGTTAACAAAAGAATGCGTCTTTCAACGTTTAAAATTACGGAATGCTGGTATAGCAAGGAATAAAACACACAGAATAATACGTATAATCGAAACTAATAGATAGAGAAAAAATCAAATTAGTCGATAAAAGAATTTTCACATTAAGATTTCATATAAAAAAAGAAAGAAAGCAAGAATAAAATAGATAAAAACATTTTGATCTCAAAAACTTATTTTGTCCTTTAGAAAAACACATAAAGAAAGATTATCACCGGTAAGTGCTGCACGTTCTTTTCTACCCAAAAATGAGGAAATGCTGAAACAGCTTTCACTTGGTACCGAGGTAGCAGGTGTACTTAGCATTCTCTTCGCAAGTGTTTTCAAATTTGGAATTGAATCGCCATATATCGTCCAAAACTTCATTGCTGATGAGACATCCGATTTGTAATTTTAATTGAAATGACCAACATATTTACGATAATTATGAAGTTCTTCAATAACTACTGCTTTTTTATGCCGATCAGATAGATTTGCTTCATACGAAATTTCACCAATAGAATCATTAAACATATCAATGGCGCTTTTTGAATTTTCAATCGCATTTGACTTGTATAGTGTAACGACAAACTTTATTCAAGGTGATTCGACTGACTTTATTTCAACCAAACATTTCCTTTTATACTCGTTCTCTCTGTTCTCTTTTCTTTTTAGCGCATCGGTCAAGAGAGAACAGGGAGAGAAAGAGACGGACAGAGAGAAACACGAAGAAGAGAAAAGAATCATTAGATGATTAGATGAACTGATGAAGATGAACTCGCTATGAGACGAGATGCATAGATATAATGAACAGAAAGGAGAAGATGATAATATATACATGAGTCATCTATCTGTGTTTGAGAGGTTAATTGATGAATACACAAATGTTGTCACATATAGGCCTTCAGTCGTAGTTGTTGCGACTAAACTAATTGGTGAAGTTTCTATTAGCGATGTTGATGCATTCAATAATTCATCAGTTAAAATCTTTTTAATGCTGTGTTCAATTGAACGTTTTTCACTATCAATAAGTGTTGCATATCCTGCTGGATCGAAGTACGAGTGAAACTAAACGTAAGAAATATTGATATATTATAAATCGTCAGAGAAAATTGGAGCCGCGATCGGTACCAATAGTTATTTAAATTGTAACTACTCACTTTTAATAAATCCATTTGATCATGATCATTTTCGAAATAATGAAGATATTGTTTGAGTAATAATTGCTTGAGCTTTTTCACAAGTAAATTTTCCTTTTTCGAATGACTTTGTAAAAAGTTTCTCGTACGTATAAGTAAACTAAACGCCAAACCGATTGATGGATATTCACGGCCAGACATCACTCTGGTGGCATGATAGAATGGTTTCAAAACATAGTGTAATGCCGTTAACGTGTTCCAATCATCACCACTAAGTTCATAATTAGAAAGCTTTTGAATTTGCTTTGCTTTGCTTTTATTTTTAAATCATGTTTAAAATAGAATAAATTCTGAACAAGTTCACGAAGAACAACAAACGAATCAATCATAACATAGGTGCTATTCCATCGAGATTTAATATCAGTACATAAATTTCGTTTGATGGTCTTCTTTTTTCGTTCTGTATCAAAATATAATGTGATTACTGTTGAACGTTTTACCATTGATACTAATGCACGACATCGTTTCAATACATCAGTGATAAGTTCTTGTTCATAAACAATATTAATACTTGAATCAATGATATCACATGTCCAATTGTCTTCGATTTGTTCATTACCATCATTAGATAATAAATCTTCGTCATCCGAATCATAATGTTGTTGTGCTTCTTCATTATCTGAATCATCAGTAGAGAAGTCTTGATTTACTTCATCAAGTTGATCGGCATTAGAATCATTATCTGAATAATCAATATCTTCACTTCCGTTTTGTTGATTATCGGACGTCGTAAATGAACTATCTAAAACAAAGAAATAAAGCATATGTTCAAATTTATTCAGCTTTAATCATCCACTCTAATGAAATGCTCATAAATCCTTCACGTATTCTTTATCAATAAATAAAAGTAGGAATGTTGCAAGATCAGTTACCTTTTTCTATTACACTTTTAGTAAGAAGATCGGTAGGTCTGTTGCTTCTAACGAAAGATATTTTATCATCACTCGTAGATGATCGTTTAATATAATTCAAACTCAATATAAAACTTGTGTTTTACTTTAACTCAAATATAAGAACACACCATTATTATTATGGTTTTTTTATAAAAACTTTTTTCTACTTTTACTACATCTATCATCCTTCTATCCTTTCATATTCCCTAATAAATCAAGAATCGCACGTACAACATTTGCTTCACCATCAGAAGTGACTCGAACTCGAATCACTTTATGTAGTATATTAAGTTCTTTCAATTTCATTTCCAATACTTGACGAATATCAACAGCTTTATGATGAGTATTAAATGCTGAGAAGTTAAAAACTGTTGATTTTAATTCAAAACCATTCGAAGAGAAATAATGACCAGTAATTACCAAAAACGAACGCATGTGTCTGTTACTCCATAAATCCAAAGTTATTGATATATCATTAATTGATGCTAACTCATCAGATAATTTCTTGAAATAAAATTTATAAAGATGCTTCAGACGACGAACTACTGCATATCGAGTCGGTGGTTCATAGCCTATGCAAAAAATAGGTGAGAAAATAAAAATACTAACGAAATATTTAAGTTTTATAATCATCACAATTGTCTATTAATAACCACACAGTTTCAAGTATTTAATTTAGTATACATCGACTAATCATTTAAGTAAACTCACCTGGTATTATTTGTTGTAAAGCATATTTCAATCCTACTTTCTGGAAATCATTAAATGTTCTTCCATCACGTATTATGCAATTGATAAAAAGTTCATGGAAACGCTGCATTTTCTCATCATTCATAGATGAAGCAACACGTGTCCGTTTATCACCAGAAAGTATTAATCCATACAATTTATGCTTTGATACCAAGTGTTTTCGTAAAGTAGATGTGGATCCATTGTTTGTTGAAATCTTTTTATTATCCGAACATAATAAACATATTGAGAAATTAGAGTTTTGACAACGTGTGGTATATTGCCATACTTTTGATTTATGCACGACTAATGTTTCATTTGTTGAGATGCTTAAATCATCATCTTTTGATGTTACAAGAATATTATGTTTTGAAATTTTTAATTTTTTGTTGATATGATTGACGTTGCTACCATTATTAACGACAGCTTCATCAGCTTGAGAACTGTGATGATCATCACATGTTGTTGTTGTATTGGATAAAGATGATGTCGTTTGATTCGAATACTTTCCATTGCCACTTGCTTTATTTTCAAATCGATTTGTGATGGAAATATTACTAAGATCTTTAAAAATTGATTGAGAGGTCATTTTTCCTATTGTATTACGGATTGAATGAATGGTTAAATAAGCAGAGTAATGAAATACATTTTTGAATGATATTGTAGATATTGAATATTCGAATACTAAATTTAATGATATTGAATTTGTAAGGGGAAAAAGCGCATATATTTATACTAGGACGATGTTTCGAGGGCGTATAGTAAAGAAATGAATATGATGAAGACGATAGTATAATCGAATGTAATATCGCTCGAAACAATGTAGTATGTATAAGATCGAGGTAAGAGATGAGAAATGAAGAAAGAATGCCGAGAGAACATATTTCTAGGGATAAATAAATAAACATATATATGTAAGAAGAAAAAGAAATACGAACAAAGTCTTACAAAATACGCATGGTAGATTACACAATGTTTACGCAATAATCTTAATAAAAATAAAATTTCGCCAAATATTCTGTAGAGTTAACCATTTAATGTAGAATTTCATGAAAAAAAGACATGAATTTTATTTAAGTGACTACTCGGCTACTCTGATCTCCCGACCAATAAAACTAAACAGCATTGCCATTAGTTCGTATGAAAAATTTCATGACGCTCCACTTCAAAACGACGACCAATAAATGTCAACATGAATATATCAGTGAGACCTGCATCACCGACTTTTTCAGTGTACCGAAAGTATCAGTGCACCACTGGCCACTGACGCAAAAGCACCGGTCCTCCAGTGTTGTCGGTGTCAGTGAACACCGAAAATCAGTGAATACTGACAGTGTACTTTCAGCGCACGCTGAGCTTACTGGCGGTGCCTGTCAGTGTTCAGTTTTTCGACACCGTTTATCCCTAAGAGTGATTTGCAGTTGACAATCTGATGATTATTATGTCAAGGAAAGGTAGACAATTATGTTTTTCTTCTTCAAATGTGAACACTATGTCATTATCAAAACTGTTTAGTATATCAATAATCTTTTCAACATTTGCATCTTTCTCAACGGTAGCGAACGTATCGTCAACATAACGCTTCCAATACAACAGACCATTTCTTTTCAACCGTAGGAACAGTCTCTCCTCTAGATAATTGACATATATGTCAGCAAACAAAGGTCCCGGTGGAGATCCCGTTGCAATACCGTTGGTTTGTGAGTAGATTTTATCGTTGAATATGAAGTTGGTTTCTTTTGTTGTTGTTTCAAGTAGATATTTCATCTCGTATCTATTCTTGCAAGCACTACACCAGTCATCGCGTTTGAGATCGCTGTAGGTACAAGTATGTTCCGGCCCGTACATTTTATCGAGAATTAATTGTATGGTACGATTTAGAGGAACTTTGGTGAATAAACTAGTGAATGTCGAATGAAATTAGTTTTATTCGAGGATTATAAAATTTCAGCGAGCGTAGTTCGTCGACAAAGGTAAATGTGTCTTTGATGATTGAATCACTTTTTCGAAGATGATCCAATTTGAGGGTCAACAACTTAGCAAGTTTATAGTTGAACGTGCCTGATGCCGAAACTACAGGTCGAAGAGGTGTTCCTGCTTGGTGTACTTTAGACGGACCGTATCTACGGTCCGTCTAAAGTACACCAAGCAGGAACACCTCTTCGACCTGTAGTTTCGGNACGTGCTGATTGTGAGCCTCACGGACGACAAAAATTGAATTCTTTTTCTGTTATGAATCCTTCGTTTCTTAATTGTTTCAATTTTCGTATCAATTTATCTTCTTGTGTTATGGTTTCATCAACTTCTACAATCTCGAACGTGTTAAGAAAAGTGTTACAAACAGATCGTACTCTGTTAGCAAATTGTAATTGAATCGGTGTCAAATTATATTTTATCTTCTCATCAACATCTTTCTCTTCATAATCTCTTTTATCAATATAATGACCCAACAATTCAACAAAAAAGGCTTCAATATTGCTGATGAATGTCATTTCGTCGAATTTATCAGTCGGCAATACAAAATTCAAACCATTTTCCAAAATACTTATTTCTTTATCAGTTAGAATTCTCTTCGATGGATTAGTTATTGGTGATAACGTAGATTTGTTTAGTTCATTTGCTGGACGTTGTTTATTACGGAACTTATTTAACTTATTCTGATGATTTTCCTTAATCTCTAGTTCTTTTGATGCTACGATTCTATGATTAATTCTATCTACTCGACATGTGTGAAGATGATATAAGTCAAGACAGATCAACGCTTTGAAATTTCTAACCATTCGATACAAACGCGATAACTTACATTTCTTGAGCTTCAATTCGTGGATCATCATTTGTTCGTAACAGTCATTGGTTGCCCGTCGATGATGTTGATGCATCGATGGGATCTTGAATCGCACGAAATCTGGTATAATCTTTTCACGTTTGCATGTTCTTAACAGGTCCAAGGCCAGCTTAGTTTTTGACAATTTTAACTGGTACTTTCCATATAAAAATACATTTTTTCCAAATTATGACTCATATTGCTGCCTTATTATGTGAATATACCCAGGCCGGATACTCCGGCGCGGAAATGGCCGTTTCCGAGATATTTCGGAGATTTGATGGAATCCTGCTTCAAGAACCATCGTCCTGGGTAGTTCTATTTCTTAATGGGTAACAATTTGAGAACAAATTTCACGAGATTAACAGCAACTTTGAATTTCCTTTTCATTTGATTCCAAAAAGTTTATTTCGATAGAGAAGTAATAAATTTTGATTTGTTCAGTAACATAAAAAAACTTTGAAAATTCAATAAAAAGCGTATCGTTATTTATATTCTTCTTCAACAATAGGTCATGATATGGGCTTCAGCATATTGAACGGAATCTTGGTAAGAACGTTGTGAAGTTATAAGAAGCCGATAGCTTCGAAAAGCAATAGAGTTTGAGAATACTTGTAAAGTACCATATGTTAGACGTGCAGGTGCAGTTGTGGGATCGATACCTGTTGCACCTGTGTATACAAGTGTCCAGCTTGGATTAGGGAGTAATGTTGTTGAATTGGTTCCTTCAAGTGTTATTGTAAGTGGATCACGTTCTGGATAATCGGATCCAGTCGCAAAAATAATACCGTTCGCTACGCTAAAATTACCGCTAGTAGAAGTCACGAAGAAACCAGTGTCTTGTCCAGCTTGAGAAAAGTTACCATTGATATAACTGTAATTTCCATAATTGACATATTTCGTATTAACGTTATTATCGATTGCCGAAGTAGGTGTTTCTGAGGGGATCGCAGTAAACATGCCGTTGGTGCCACCAGTGGGTCCACCAGCTTTTGTACCATATAATCCTATAATAGGATCGCCTGGCTGTGTGATTGTACACATCGGACGTGGTGTTGTTGAAGGTATGGTTCCTGTAGATGTGTTCCAGTAAAAATTAAACAAAATTTGTAGTAATCATCCCCGAATCAAAGATTTTTCTTAGATGAACGAAGTTGAAATTTTAACTCGAAAATCTCTACTTCGTATTTTGGCTTTAGACCATATCGGATTTCTATTAAATGTTTATGGAAAGAATCTTGAAATCAGTGGGATAGACAAGATGTTTTCTATTTATTTATAATATACAAGTGTATAGATATGAGCGCGCTAAAACAATGATTTTAAAAACTAAAATAGTAGATATCTATCCAATTTGAAATTGCTCGGATCTCGAGATGCTTTTATGCATACCTACGTCGTTCTCGATCACGGTGACAATGAATTAAGTACGAATAGAGGAGAGATTAATCTAACCTTCATTTTCTCTTCAAATAGTGTTCTTTCTTATACAAAGTTTCTTGAACACATAATCAGTTGAAAACTTGAGTAATTCTCAAATAGACAGAAAAGAATCGATACTTGAGTTGCTTTAACACTTGTTTTACGTTCCTGATAACGAAGATAAAACTCGATCAAGTGAAAAATTCGATTTCTATAGTTTGTTAAAAAGTAGAATACTAATAACTGCGAGAGAGCACTCAAAGAAAGCTTTAGATATCATGTTGGTGATGATCGTTGAAGTCGAAGTAGCGTAGTAGCCACTGTCCCACGCAAGTAAAAAATCGGCGTTGACTACCGACATGACTAGTCCGTTGTTAATAATAATAATAAAATACGAACATGCGAAGTAAATTCGAACATCCGATCCAACAACCTTCAATATCTGACGAACGTCCTGACGATATAACATGACGTCAAAACGGACTGGTATCATCTTATACAAATTAAGTACGGGAAGATTTCGTCCATTTACTAGTCGACTAAGAACGAATTGAATAAAAAATAAACTTGACTAGCCCGACGTGTCGCAAGTAGTACATGACATTGGTTTAGGATGTCACTTGCGAGTATCGGGACTAGTCTTTCTGTTCAACATATTCTCTTAGATTAATCTGTACTCAAAAGAATATAAAGTTGATTGCAGTTTCTTCGCATTCATATCAGTAACAATCAGTTTTTTTTCAAGAACAAAAAGAAAATGGAAAAGCATAGATAACATGACTTGCATCCCAGTATCTAATAATAATATAGCACAGTGAAGTAATTCGGTGCGATACTAATAATTACTTCTTCATTTAGCACTTAAAAATAATTCTACATATTTAATTATAAATGTTTAACACATTCGAGGCGATGAGACCCACCAGTGGGCTACACTTTACATTTTATATTTAAATCTCTAAATATGTTCGATAAAAAAATCGCCTATACCATAAGATACAGCGTGAAACGCTCTACAATCTACATCGTAAAGTTCATTTCAGTCAATTGGAGGCATCGACGTAAAATACTATAGTCATGAAGCAACCTCAAAAGTTGGTGGTACACAGTTTTGCGCCTTTTTGAAAACAGAAAGTGTACAATTGAAATAAGTTTCACGCTGCATCTTGTGATATATTTTGTTTTCTAATAAAACTTATTTCGGAATGTTACTTTCTATGAAAATGGAATCGCCTCGAATGTGTTGAAAGAACATGAGTTGCACAAATACAGATAAAAGGAATTTAAATTTAAAAAACACTACTCACTGTAGAACTTTTACTCTATCTACAAAACTTAATGATAATTATTTCAATAATTCTATGGAGGAAATATTTGCACTCAAAATAAATTTCAACTTGTCATACGAGACAAATTACTTTTTTTTATTGAAATACGTAGTCTTATCAGACGTGTAATATGAAGAAAAGTTGAGAAGTATGTGAACTTTTTCAAATTTGTACAGGTAAGTCATATCTAAAGTTCTTTGCATTTTTTGATATAAATATTTTTACTTTATCTCAAAAAGTAAAAAAACATCAGATAAAATATTTTTAAATTGTATTCAAAAATCACTATAAATACGAAGAAGTAAATATCTTGATGATATGGCTCAATGTTCTGAACAGTAGGTAAGTAACACTTAGTATGCATGTTCGAATCTAACCTTCATCCTTATATACTTTAATTCAGACTAGTCCGAACTAGACCATCCACTCAATATAACTAACCTAAGTACTAATAACGACACATTTACTTTTTTGTTGTAGACCTATGTGGAAACGGGCATCTTGTCAGGTACCCTATCTGATATTTGTATGAGGAATGACTACCGTCACTGATATAGGCAGAAGTTCAATGTATGACGGAATAAATCATTGGATTAGTCCCGATTGAGTCGTTTTTAAGACTGACTAGGCGTGACGGGAAGTCAGGACTGGAAAAAGGTTCGACTTTTACTCCGTCTTTTGCTTACCTAGGTACATTGTAGTCTTCGTTGATGTAGTTGCTTGAAGCTTAAGTAATGTAATAAGTAACGCAGCAAAGGCAGTAGCCAGAAGAACGCCAATCACTGGACAAAATAATGCGTACAGAGGAGAACAGGAACAACAAATTCGACAAAAATATCTATTCAAAATCAAATAGAATAAGATTCGTAAAGATAGTGAGCGAGTGTTATAGTTTACTTTTGTCGTCTTTTTGAGGTTCGTTGATTGTCATTAGTAGATTGTTTTTCATTAGACCAAACGTTAATTTTTTCACCCTATTTTATATTTGTAGATTGATGATAGTTCAGAAATAAATAGTAATCAATTCTTACTGATTTTTGCTTGTTCCTATTAAATTGGCCAAGACCACTGTTTAAGGTACTCTAAAGAGTATAGGTCTTAATCGTTCGACTGAAAGCAGGGTTTTACGAAAAAAATGGGGTCAAAACCTGAAATTCGTTTGTCTTTCTGTCGCGGGTCAAATGTCAAAACAACAAATAAATCTACTGAAAACATCCGATTTCAACACCTAGCGACCAATCCTTAGGTCGTCAAGGTCGGTATAGTGGGGCTACTCATTATTTCTCTGGTCATTTGGAAATGATTTCTGATGGGATATAAGGAACGCTGACTCGCAGAAATAGTGGAATAAATTTTTGTTAAACTTTTTCTGTCGATTGTAAGGAGGGTCATGGAACAATAAAATCTGTTCAGTGAGACACCTTCACTAATAGGATTTAATAGCAAATTTGGATAGAAGAAGAATGGGAAGCAGAGAGTCGTGAGTGGCGCTCCATAGGGGTGCCGATCTGCTCACGGTGATTTTTCATTTCGAAACGTCTGGTAGATAAGAATAACGACAATAGTGCTTAAATTTGCTTTCAAACCTATGAGAAGAATAGGAACCATCCTCGAAAAATCATTTTCCTGGATGTGTTACTGTCTTCTTGTATGGAAACGCTCGTGAAGACTATTGTGTATTGACTTGATTATCCAGTCGAGGATTAAGCGAGTCAACCTCGACGAGCGTTATTTATTATTATAAATTTATGCAAAACACGCTATTGAATGCTGAAGGTCACTCTTTGCTTCAAATGAAAACTTTTACGTATTCGTCAATACTAGAATATTATAATCTCGATATTAATTCGATCCAGCAATATCACATGTCTCGCAGATCTGATCTGCATGATACGTGACGCTACTCAAAAATAGCGACTAATGATTTTGGGGATGTGATGCTTTATGAATATTCAGCGAAACATCAAGAAATAAAACATAATTAAGTGTTCGCTATTTCTAGGACAATGTAAAGTCATCGGTCATATCTATGGAGGGATACTATGGTGTTTAATAGTCACGTTTGAGAACACATAGCGAGATATTTAGGTTACTCATGATCGACCGTATGTTAATTAATTATGGCGGAAAACGACAGCAGTTAACAGTTGCAATTTACAGTAAATATTAACGGTAGACGTGAAAATAAAGCGACTGTGACGGCGTTCGGATAATATCTTGAGGCATTGCATTCATTAATTGTATATTGGGTGAAGTAAACGAACATTGTTCTCTCAGAGTACTACGCCATAAAGAATCGCTAAAGTTGGCGATATTGATTCATTGAACATAGATATTGCGTGTTTCTGACCAACTTCATACATCAATCTATAATTTTACTTGTTCTCAATAAAGCTCACTAGTACTCGCCAATTGCGCTTAACTCAAGAATTCTTATTGCGTATTCAGTGAAACCCTTATGCCGTTGGCTTTGTCAGCCTGCTCTACGCACATTAAAGAATTTGCAAAACACATGAGTCGTACAAGTAGTTTTTTAACTAGAAAACACAATTTTATCGCTCATTCCTAGAGTGCCACTTTCGGCAATCACTAAGACGATATGAAAACTAAATCTGCACCATTTTGCAGTGTTCAAAATTGTTTTTCGATTCTCTTAATACCAGCTTTATCAAACACAATTTAAAAACTGTCAAAAAAGCAGACTCTAACTTGTAATGTCGTATGGGACTTAATTAAAATGTAAAGCCTCGCTATTATGTGACTTTTTTCACATCGAAAAAAAAGGAATCAGTAATATACTTATCAAACAATTTAGTTGTTCTCTTTATAGAGTGGTATACAATCTGATTAAAAAGACAAAGCAACATAGACTTCTAGGAGAAAATAAAACGTAAGAAAAGTTAGCACAATATTCAGATATTTCTTGTCTGGATTAGCGATAGGAGTTGTGTTAGATTCAAAATTCAATTCGCTATCGAATAATGTTATTTTCGCGAGGTGTCATCGACAGAAAAAAAATCGTTAACCCCACACCCACCCTCAAGAAATATCTGAATATGGTGCTAACTTTACTTACATAAAATAAAACCTAATAATTTATGGAACACTGTTGATTGATTATTTTAATAAATATATTTCGACTTTCTCTGGATATGTTTTGTCTGAGAATAGTACCATATTGGAAATTATTTTTCTAAATCGATAAAAATCAGTGAAAACTGGTTAGTCTGACTGTTTTAACCGGTGCGGTTCCGATTCTGCTGTCAAACCAATGAATGTTAGAGCTCTTTTCGCACAGATCTTTCAAAAAACTATTGCCAAAAGACAGTATTTGGGACAGTGCAGAGTATAATCATTAATTTTTTAATAATCTTCAGTGAGTATATAAACTATCATATATATTTAGAATTAAAATTCAATATACTCTTAATTCTGATTTAACATTGTACTTCACCTTTCTCATTGAACAGCGATATCGATGATTTTCAGTGACATTAGCAAAGCTTGTTCCACTGTTCATCGATCCAACGAAGTTTTGACTACAAGTAGAACTTGATGGTTCAATTCGACCATAGCACGTAGTGGAAATATAAGAGTCCTGTTTGTTAAAGAGAATAATAGAGAACAGTCATGAAATTTACAAATGTCTCACCGGTTGTAGACGGTCTCCATCGCCATTCGATTTATTTTCTATAGCACCAACGTTGGAACCTAATGACCGAACGTATGCATATGTAGTATCATTAGATTTCTGGAGTTTTACTGGCATATGTTGAAGCTATGTTAAATTGAATTAAAGAATAATGAAGAGAGAAAGAAGCATTCATACTTCAGTATGAAGCGATCGACAACAACGTCGTGGAGTAGTTATTTTACGAACATACATTATAGATAAAGAAGAATAATATAAATTTTTGTCTCGTGAAACGAGGAGGTATTTCTATCCTTTGACCAGTTCTTATTCTCTATATATGCATTCCAACTTACGTTATTGAAATATAATAATTGAATTTTTTTCATTATTCCTTTTCAAATAATCAATATATTTGTTTACCTGTCTCTCTACAATTGTATTATAGGTAATATAAAGGGGCTTCTGGATCATAATTGCATTAGTGCGCAATATCATCTATGCAATATAAAGGGTACAAAACTCGAACGAAAGCGTATCTATTGGGGTTTTTCGTACTTTTTTTTGAGTAAAAAGTATTTAATTGAGCTTTAGAGAATGTACTTTCTGCTTAGCTTGGTAACAGTGGTACAGAATCTACTCGCGTGCTCGAAGGCCGTTCAGAGAAAACTTTAAAAACTTAATAGCATCCGGGGACATTTTTTGAAAATACTCTTCCATACAGGAATTCTTTTTTTTTTAGTTTAATTTTTGCTTTCGAGGTCTGAAAATAGTCAAAACCTCCGTTTTCTTATGTTAAAACATGATTTTACGTATAGAAATTTTAAAGTTTGAAAATAATGCGTTTTTACGCTAATCTATCAAAAATTTCACTGCTATCACATTCTGAAAGTGAAATTAAACCGAAAGAGGACGCCGAACAGTCGTAAAACGACACTTATTTTAGCGACCGATTTTGCACCTCTGTTTGGAAAGTATACGTAAAATATGTCTATCTCCTGTACTTGCGATCATCCGAACTCTGATAGTGCAGTTCTTAAAATACATGGATTCTTGTGCAAGCAGGTTGACACAAACTTGATTCAGAATATAAGTACCTGAAAACAAAAAACAAATGTCCACATATATAATTATTTTATGAAAAGAATAGAAATGTCTTCAGTTACTTTGCAAAGGCAGTCAAGAAGCATTATAAACACTGTTCTGATTGAATTTTTCGTTTTTATAATATTCATAAAATCAAATGATGGTGTAGATGGGAGGGCTACGTGTAGTTTATGCAACCAGCACAACCATCCACAGTTTGATAAGTTATGTTCATGGAGACCCGCACTTACCCACTTCATAAAGAATTTCAAGAGAATAAACCGTCCACAAACATTGCATAAAACATAATCACCTATTGGGTTGGCCAGAAAGTTTTTGCATTTTTTTGAAAATTTTATTTTTATTTTTTAACTTCAAAAATACAACTAGCTTTCAACAATGTAACCTCCAACACGTTGGTAAAGAAAGTATCCCATGTTCGTGGAAGTCTTGAGACTTTTGAGCGAAGAAGTTGGCCAGCTCTGTTCTGAGGTTGTTCTCGTCGTCGAATTCTTTCTCGCCCAAATAATTAGAAAGAGAACGAAACAAATGGCAATCTGTTGGGACCAAGTCAGGAGAGTACGGTGGGTGTGGAATAATAATCCATCCGAGCTTCAGTAATTTTTTACGAGTCGACTTTACAATGTGAAGTCTGGCGCTGTTATGCAAAAAATAAATTCTGCGCTGTTTCCCATGAAGTTTGCTGCAACTCGATCTAATTGCTGACAGTAGAGATCAGCAGTGATGGTGTAGCCAGCTGGAAGAATTTCCCAATGAATAATCCCTTTGACACCCCACCATACGCTCAACATGATCTTTTTTTAGCGTTGCTACACCTATTTTTTTAGCTCCTAGCCACCGTTATTTGCGTGTGTGGTTAACATATAACATCCACTTCTCATCGCCAGTAATAAGATTGTCGAGCCATTGGTGGTTGCGGTGAGACGTTATTAATTCCATACAAGCATCGACTCTGTGTAAGAGCTGATGTGGTGATAGATCATGTGGTATTCAAACTCCATATTTCCACGTTTTGCCCAATTCGTGCATATGTATTTTCACTGTAGTATGGGAGCACTCAAGCTGTTCTGCTAAACACCGTGAAGTCAGTCTAGGATCTTCTTTGATAAGCTGCTTCAAAGCATCTATATCCACCTCTACTGGTCTTCTGGAGCGAGGTAAATCGTGGAGTTCTAAATTACTATTCTTGAGCCGATTGAACCAATGTTGCGCTGTACGAATGGAGAGTACATCGTTGCCCATCGTGCTGCATATGTTGCTAGCTACGTCCGTTGCTTTGTGACCCAAACGAAATTCATGAAGCAAAAGCACTCGCAGCTCTCTACGAGATACCTTGAATTCTAATTATTCATCAACGTCCATATCCATGTATCTGTTTAACTCTTGTTGAGGTCACAACCGAGTGAAGTGAGCATTAATACATAAATAAGAAGCGTATGCATTGATTCACAAACAAAACTATTTAGAGCGGAAAAGAGATCCGTGTATCAGTGTGAAGCTAGCACGAAGGAGCTAGCACGAAGAAACTGTGTGTAAGCTAAAAACTTTTTTTCAAAGTTTGTCCGGTTCATAAAACCTAGTCCATTCGATTCAGAATTAAATTCTGCATCGAATGGTGGTATTTTTATTCACCGGACAAACTTTGGAAAAAAGTTTGACCACATCTTTGTTTGCCTCATATAGGTCTATTTATGTTTCCGATAATTTTTTTCCAAAGTTTGTCCGGTGAATAAAAATACCACCATTCGATGCAGAATTTAATTCTGAATCGAATGGACTAGGTTTTATGAACCGGACAAACTTTGAAAAAANCTACTCAATTTATAATGATAAAGAGATTCTAGCAGTGTGAGATGAGCAGCCATGACGCGTTTCGTCTTTGTGAGCGAAAGACGAAACGCGTCATGGCTGCTCATCTCACACCCTCACCCTCAGACACAGACTGGAATCAGTCCACAACGACGACATCAACGACGCTTTTGTATCATGTTAACGAACAATCCTCGTATGATTCGATCGGCAAGTCGAACGTTGCACAATGCCACGGTTAATGTGTCTGTAAGACTATCGTGTTTTGAACTAATGCAAAAAAAATCAAATGAAACTTTCCTAGAATCAAAAAGTACACGAACGGCAGCGTTCTCCACCACCTTCGCCCTCGAAATCTCAACATCGAGAACAATTGACTCTTTCGAATGAGCAACAAGTGGTGCCATTGTCGACACAGTTTTCGGCGATAAGTGTCACAACGGACAATGATGATGATCACGAAAAAGAAATTGAAGATGATTTTCGAGCACAAATCCAATCCATTCTTCAGGCGTACTTGCAGAGGACGCGACGATCAAGTCCAATTAACTCGATTTTTGACATGTCCAATTGTGTTGATAATTGAAACTTAGCTTCTTTTTTCTTTCGCGCTTTTTATTTTTTGTACTTCTAGACATCGAAGAATTGAGCGAACATCTTTCGAAGAAAATCACTTTTTTGTTGTAGATCATCTTCATGGCTTCACCACATCGTAACACACATAACGACTCATCACGAACCAGCGTTCCATATCCTTATTTTATCATTACCATAACAAACTATCCACAATTGACACAACGTACGCAGTGGTACCCGACGTCCGACGAAGTAACTCTGCATAGTCTCTATACCCATACCCTCAAGATGGCTTTATCTTACATTTCCATGTAGACTTTGAATCCTCAATCACAACATAACTGCATGTTTATGCCGGGTGTTCTCGCCCACTTCGGAACCGGTTCTACCGATCAACATGAACGATTGCTGTACAATACTGTTCGATATCAAATTCGACAAATTATTCGAGCATACCTTCGACATACTCGACAATCATATCCAATTCACTTGGTTTTCGACTTGGCCGATCTAGCAACAGACGGCTGATAGGCATTCGATGCTGCATTCTGTGTGTATATTTGTATCTATCGTGATGTTCATATTTAGATTTCTATGTTTCACTTCAATAAACTCATGATACTCACTTTGACAAAGTCGTGACATAGATTCATATTGCTATGTTCTAAAGTGGAGGAAAAAAGTTTAGCACATTTTGTATTTTTGACTTTGCCATTTCCCTATCATTTTTGAAGGACATTCTAAAAGTGTTATGACTTATCCTAAGTGTCCTCTATACGCGCTATGAATTTCATCAATTTTCTTTTAGGCGTGTGCGTAGAGGATAAAAAAACATTTTTTGCCCAGCGGAAAAAAGTTTAGCACATTTTCCTATACTTTCATTTTATTATAGTAATTTATGCTTGACAAATAGAAATCTTTCACACAAAAATAGTTAGAAAAGAACAAGTTCATCATAGAAAATGACCACCTTTGGCTTTTAGACAACTTTGAATTCTTTCAGGCATTGATTCGATAAGTTTTATGCATAAATCTTTATCAATATTCTTCCATTCTTGTTGTAAACGATCTTGAAGAGTGAGTTTTGAGTAAATAGGCTTAGAAGCTAATTTTTTATCGAGAATCGACCATAACATTTCAATCGGATTAAGATCTGGGCTTTTTGGAGCCCAGTTCAATACATTGAGTTTCATCCTTTTAATTGTATTCTGAACTATATTTGATGTATGCCACGGTGCCAAATCTTGTTGAAAGATAATTTCACTTTTATTTGGCAACATAGACATTGATTGTTTTAATTCATGTTTTAATACATCGCAATAAAGTGTTCCATTCATATTTTCATTAAATATTTTCAATAAGGTTATACCGTGGCCCGATATACCTCCCCATATACCAATCTTTCCACCATCACCAGTGTTCGCTTGTTCAATTCAGTCCGGATGTAATCTTTCTTCATCAGTTCTCCATACTTTACATTGATTTTTCCTTTTTAAAACATAAAATGTTGATTCATCACTAAAAATAACTTTGCGCCAGTCATCGATAGTCCAATGGACATATTGGCGACACCAAGCAATTCGTCGCTCTCGATGTTTCTTACTGAGCCATTGCTTTTTGAGTTTCACCTTGTATTCAAAACCAAGTTTTGTTAAGTAGTTACATACTGTTCGTCTTGTAACCGGTTTTGGCAAAGAACTGTTCAAATCCGATGTGATCTTAGCTGCACTAAGTCGATTTTCGCCTTTCACCAATCTTTTCAAATGTCGCTCATCACGGGCAGATAGCTTCTTTGGTCGTCCCGATCGTTTCAAATCACTGAATTCACCATGTTTTTCATATCTTTCGATGGCATTCATAATACATTTGCGTGAAATAGGGAGCTGTTCGGCGATTTTCGATACTTTCATACCAGAATGGTATAACGCCACCGCCTGAGCACGGGTATATGGACTAACGTGTTTTTTACCCATTAAAATAATATAAATTGACGCTTTAAAACAAAAATAATCTAAAAGCTAAAGAAAAACTGCATTATCACTTTCTATTACTATAATAAAATGAAAGTATAGGAAAATGTGCTAAACTTTTTTCCGCTGGGCAAAAAATGTTTTTTTATCCTCTACGCACACGCCTAAAAGAAAATTGATGAAATTCATAGCGCGTATAGAGGACACTTAGGATAAGTCATAACACTTTTAGAATGTCCTTCAAAAATGATAGGGAAATGGCAANTTGGAATTTTACAAGCTTAGATGAAATCTATTTAGTATATTCCAACTAGGTGTGTGGCATACTATATAAATAGCTCTCGTCTTTTATGGAAAGGGGTCTTGCTTTACTATTTTGAAATAAACTAGTTCTACCACACTATACGGACTTAACAGCTAATTATTTGATTCCGACTTTTTATGCGTTCCATCTGATACACTTTTTGAAGTACACATAACTTTCGTATAAAGTCCGAAGTTTTCGCATTTCTGTTGTAACATTTCCTAAACTTATATGACTATATAATGGTAACAAATGCTAAGAAGAAAGGAGCAATCAGTGCAGTTTTTATGGTTTAAAAGTATAAAACATGGTGTTATACTTTCTGTAAAAAGTAATTCGAGATGAATAAACTAATAGCCTCTTCGATCATATATTCCAAAACAAAAGTACATCTTTGTTTTCTTTCAATGTTATATAAATATTTTTGAAACAGAAAAATAGTGATACATTCAACGTTAATATATGTTCCTTACTTTTATGATGTTTTTCTGTGGATAACTCAACTAAAAATGTCAATGAAAGAGAGAATCTTTCTGCTCTTTGTTTTCTAGCCAGCTATCGGTGGAAGTCATGAACTCCGTCTAGATATGTTTCCAGCGATGCCAATTTCTCGTATTTTTCCCGCCAATCACATGGTTCTTGAAGCCAGCAAAAAAGCGGATCAAGTATGAATATTGACCGCGTTGATCCAAAGACAATCTTCTATAAATTTGGACGTAAATAAAGATATTTTTCTCTATTTGTCAATTGAGACATTTCGAAGTTGTGCCATGAACATCATAATTTAGTTGGAGGAATCAGATGAAATGAAACAGCATTATACCAAAGGTTTGGTGGACCACGAATCTTTTGGTCAAGCAATATGATTGAGAGTAAAATAATTAATGAGTCTCGTATGGATCAGACGAATAGAGGATATGATTGACATTCAATTATGGACTATCTGATCGACTACAATCTCACAATGAATCAATGCTGTGATGTATAAATAAGTAGTGAAATTTTGTAAAGAGAAAAGAAAACTCTTGGAAAGTGATAGGAAAATTTTAAAGAATCTAAAGGTGAGTTACAGCTGAAATGCTTTCGAAAAAGAAGTTAATTCTGAGAGTTGTATACAAATAGGTGATTTTGTCTTCACTCACATTTTCGCGTGATCTATTTTTTGGTAGACGGAAATAAAGAAGGAACTCATTGGAAGGGCAATAATTGGGCTCATTTCTGTGGTGTTCGACAAAGGAATTTCCATAATGAAAAAGCAAAAGCAGAATTCTGTGATCTGAAATGTGAATGAAATAGACAGTACACTCGCTTTCTTCAAGATTGTACATGTGCCAAAGAGCTTAGACCTTTTATCTTACATTAACCTTGACTTTTAAATTATATATTTATTAAGATAAATAATTTTGTAGATTATATAACTGCATATCTCATCATCACTTGGAGAATATGCGTGTATCTCCTTAATTCTTGTTGAGGTCACAACCGAGTGAAGTGAGCATTAATACGTAAATAAGAAGCGTATGCATTGATTCACAAACAAAGCTATTTAGAGCGGAAAAGAGATCGTGTTCGGTTGTGACCTTTGCTTTATATTATTTTGAAACTATTCTTTTTCGACGATTCAAAGCGAAGTGGGATATAAAGAAATGCAAATGACGCGTGTGTTTTAAATTGATTTTATTTATTGCTATAGAGGATTCAATATAGACAAAAAGAAGAATAATAGATTACAATAACATGCGAACAAAAAAACTGACTACGTCAGTTATCTAAGTGTGTTAATGTTGCTTGTTGAGAGTATCCGTATAGAACGAAAAGAATACTTACATTCTCACTCTCACTCCCTTTCATGATCCTGAAAAAAAAACTAAACACGATTAATAGAAGTTTTAAAACGATGCATGTTGATGCAGAATGATTCAGACAGACTTGCACAATTCTAATGAAATGCAAATAGAAGAAAGAAAGATCAACATTAAAAACTTCTTTTTATACATTATTCATTCAACTGGCAAATCAACATTAATGTCAGGAGAAGGTCATTTATCTCTTCACATTATCCCTGTAGAACTTGTTTATCGTATTTTGGATCATCTTGATCAATTAACAATTTTGTATTCAGTCCGTAATCTCTGTAAACGATTAAACTCTATTATAGATACGTATGATCTGTATAAGGTAAAATTTATTCTTCTTCTTCTATTATTTAGTTTAACTTTCAATTTCGTTAATATATATATGTGAGCGATGAACTTTTTAGTTTTTTCTTTTTAATCAAATTTTATAAAGGTCTATACTAATCTTTAAGTAGAATTTTGAAAAGATATGTTTATAACTATTGTGATTGATCATTGTGAAAGACGATTTTTATGATAATCTTGTATAGATACAAGGCTTTTATTATACCAGTACTATAAAAATAGTGAAAGAATTGAATGACTCCATACATTGTATTATATTGTAACTTTTGAAATAGGAATGTAGGACGCTTGATCTCAGTCATTATGAAATCAAAGAACAGGGAGCACAACGTCTTGCATATGGACTGACACGTAACACTGTAAATAATGATTAAATTGATATTTTCATGTCTCTCTCTATATTTTGCAAAATAGATATTTACTACAATCAACCTTAACAGTAATAGAATTGGTGATAGTGGTATCGAGTATCTTATCAAAGCTTTGAAAAACAATCAAGTTCATATTATAGTCACTTTTATTATTTTTTATCCATGGTCAATCTTTTTCTTTTGTTTTGCAGACACTCACTACACTTAGTCTCAGTTGTAATAATATTAACGAATTAGGAGCACACAATCTTGCTAATTTTCTTCAGACTAATACGGTATTATATCCTTAACTATCGTTTGCTTTCTCTATTGGTCTCATTTATATACAGATACTTGCTACGCTTGATCTTAGTCATAATTATATTGATGTTTCTGGAGCAAAATACATTGCCGATGCTCTGGCAAAAAACACAGTAATACATAATTCAAAACCAATTTTCTTTATTCCTATCTCAATTTTTCGTGTAGAATCTTACTGCATTGAATCTTAGTGGTAATCAAATACGAAATCAAGGAGCTCAATATTTTGGTATCGCACTTACAAAAAATAAGGTATTATATGAATTATTAATTATTTTTGTTTTATCAATTATCTTGATTGTTTATAAAGACTCTTCTGTTACTCGATCTTGGAAGTAATAAAATTGAAAGTCAAGGGGTACAACAATTAGCAAATGTGTTTACAGTTAACAAAGTAACACATACAAAAGTAGAAAATATTAGCTTATAAATCTTCATGTTCTATGCAGACACTCACAGTTTTGAATCTTAGCTACAATAATATTCAAGACAATGGAGCAAAGCAATTAGCCGATGCTCTAAAAACAAACATGGTAAGTTCGAAGTTCTTACGATATCAGCATCTTTTCAATCTAAACTTTTCCTACAGACTCTAACAACACTCGATCTTACAAAAACTCATATTGGAGAATTGGGAGCTATAGAACTTGCTAATATGCTGGCCAAGAACAAAGTAATAAACAATTTTTATAATACATTTATTAGTTAATTATTACTATTTGATTTTTTTATAGACACTTTCTGTACTGAAACTTGGTGATAATCAGATTAATAATCAAGCAGGAATATATCTGGGCAATGCTATGAAACATAATATGGTAGAAACTATTCATTATTTAGGTTCTGGTTATAGTAGAATCTATTTTTTTATATTAGTCCCTTACAATACTTGATCTTAGCGAAAACCAAATCAAAGATGAAGGAACTATTAGTTTGGCTAATGGCCTTGCGAATAATACCGTAAATACGTATCTTCTTTCAAACATGTTTTAACCAATCACTGATTCTCAATCAGACACTCAATATACTCGATTTGAATAAAAATGGAATTGAGGAACAAGGTGCACAACATCTTGCTCGAGTGCTGATCAACAATAATGTAATTTATTATTGAAATTTTATCTTTACTATTACTTTTCGTATACAGATACTTACTATGCTCAATCTTGCATGGAATCGAATAAGAGATTCAGGTGCTGAATATATCAGTCGTATACTTACAAGTAATACGGTACTGTATACCTTTCTTACCAATATGTAAGTAATCTAATTAGTTTCTTTACCTCTTTCTTTTAGGCATTGACTTCACTCAAACTAGAGAACAATGACATTGGGAATCACGGAGCACAATATCTAGCAAATGCTCTTGTCAATAATAGAGTAATCTAATATATTTTATTTCCATGAACAATAATATAAAATATCTTCTAAATAGACACTTATTTCACTTAATCTTTCAGTGAATGAAATTGGCGATGAAGCGGTACAAAATTTTTCTATTACTCTAAAAAATAATAAGGTAAATATCTCTGATCTTATCAGTCTTTTGCACTTTTGTTCTAGACACTTACTACTCTGGATCTTTGCCAAAACCGCATTACTGACGAAAGTGTACAGTACCTCGCCCAAGCTCTCATGAATAATACAGTAAAACATAATTTATTCTTTTCATTTTTTCATCAATATTTATCCCTTATATACGTAGACATTAACTTTACTTGACTTAAGACATAATCGCATAGCTGATAAAGGTGCAGAACATCTCGCCATTGTTCTTAAAACTAATCGAGTAAGAAAAGCTTCAATAATTATTTCTTTTACATAGTTCAATATTTTCACAAAGACATTGACTAAACTTAACCTTCAATATAATTCTATAACAGAAGAAGGAGCTGCACATTTTGCGCGAGTTCTTAGAGATCAGACGGTAATTATCATGTGTAGTATTTTCATTCTAACTACTTTCGTTCTTATTTTTTTCGTAAATATATAAAGACAGTAACAACAGTTTATCTTCGTTGGAATAATTTTGGAGAAAAAGCACGACCACGACTATGGAAATTGGCCAATGACAGTGAACGCTTATCATTATTAGGCATAATGTAATGAAAATATATTCGTTATTGAACGATGAGAAAAGGAATGACTATCACTAGAAATAACCTATGTATCATATTACAAAGCTCGATTATTCTCTGTCAATGCAAAAAATAAAACAAGAATTTGTTCTAAGATATTGAGATAAGATATAGAATTCCTTCTCAATCAATTCGATTCTTTGAAAGACCAAGTGTGAGAAGTGTTCATATAAGTATTAAAAGATAAATGAAAAAGTATACATATGATGCTTTACTCGATTTTGTATACGTCCATCATGCACCCTTAACTGTTAATAACGTATATATATATGTCGTAGGGCAGAGTGAAACGTTTTGATGAGGATGAAGTGTTTCTCTGCTCAAAATTTTAATTATGATTGGTCTTTTTCTTTCACTCCTTTCAGTATGTGTAGCACTTGATTATGTAAATCCATTTTGATCAGATATTTAGTTCTCTTTTTCGCATGTAGCGTTCTCACAAAGTCGTCTACTTTTGTATAGAATACTACTTGCATAACATGAAGATTAAATTGGCGATACACAGGCTGCGCTGTGTATTTAAACTGTTAGAAATAAAGGGACATCGACTTGGCATGGAATTCTCTTTCGATTCTGCATAGCAGTTTTGAATTTACACATTTCAATTTGTCCTAGTTGGCTTCATAATATTTGAATCCGTCTTAGTTGACATCGAGACATTTTAATCTGTCCTACGACATGTATATATATATATATATATGTCACGGTGAAATTTGTGTAGAAGTTGAAGATTACATTTCTTTAACTATTTTCTTTGTATGCTCTGTACTCATTCTATCATTATGCATCGACTGGAGCTTTGTCTATCGGTTCCTGCGATTTAAATTGACTATATATCTCCATGACATATAAAATGAAAAAGAGTAGTTTTAACATGGTAACAGAGAATAAAAAGAAAAGAAACATAAAAAAGTATAGAATATATTTCAGATAAATTCTTCTCAGTCTGAAAAACTACGCACATAGAATGTTTTTATCAATAAAGACATCGAGCTTCTTTGTGCGATGCCAAACTGATGACGAGCAATGATTCTCGCAGTAAAAGTGACAACAATAACATTCTTTTACTTTAGAAACAGTGGATTCGTCTAATTGTGCGTTCTAAGGCCATACCTAGAACTACGTTCTCGTAGCATTCTCTCACATAAACCGTTAGAAAAATGCCATCGACACAAATTCATTCATAGTATAAGATCAAAGCCCATCTTCTCTACAGGACTATATATACCTACAGCGTTTCCATTAATACATTCATTTTTCTTCATTGTTCTATAAAGTAAGTGTCACACATCTTCTTTTTTTCAGATTGTACGAAATGGCTTCAGCATCTCATTCATCATTATCAGCAGCAGAAATCGTCAATAGTCGTATTCCATTAGGTGCAACAAAAGAACGATATCAGAAATGGATATTACAGAAACATAATTGTCTTCCAAATGATACTACCTTTCATCGTTTAGTTCAATCTGGCTTAGTCGATGAAATAGTTGTAGTTCTTGGAGAACGTGAACATCGAAAAGGACACAATTATCGACTCAATGAAGATGATGACGATGAAGACGAAGATGAGTCTCCTACAAAAAATTTTAAACCAAATACACTCCTACAATGTGATTCTGCAACACGGACTGAATCCCATGCAACAGGGCTCAAATTATTTGAATGATTATACATCTATCTTCATAAAATTCCATTTTGATTTAAAAATATATTGCTTTTCTTCATTTTCATTTCATTTTGTTTCTTCATATCATATATTCTAGATCTTCTCATCAAATTCAATCATTTTTACTACGACTTCATCGATTGATCAAGCAGATACTCCGGAATTATCATCAACGATATCTATGATAACACCTGCTAAAGTTCGAGCTAATATTGCACAAACACGTTATTAACGATGTATTTTAATCAAACATGACATTTTTCCTCGTTTAAGTGATGTTCAACTACTAATTCAACATAACTTAATGGATAGTCTGATTCAAGTGCTTGAAGGGAATGATCAAGACAAAGTATGGAAAATACCTGAAAAGGTAAAAGAATAATCTTTGCTTTCTCGAAAAGATGGACAACGACCCTGATAGTGAAGACGACGATGATGATGGTGAGGACAAAGAAGAAGAAGAAGAGCAAGCTAACAATACACCTAATATATCAACAACTGATGTTCAACCAACTAATGCAAGTAAAACAAATGATATATAAACACAAACTGATACTCTTCATTAACACAGTTTATTTGCTTCATATGGTCTTGTTCTAACAGAAGACATCCGATTATTTCATTTTAAAGTAATAAATGCTTTTTTAAGTTCAAGAATTATTAATTCTTCTTATCAATATACTTGCTTTGTTGTTTTGTGAAAGTATTTGATTTGTTATACACATACCAGATTCAAATTATTGTTTTACAAAGTCTAAAAAATTGAAAAAATATTTGAAACAAGAGCAACTACATGTTTCAAAATGAAATTTTATCTAAAATAAGAATAAAAAGATGAATATTCACTTGTAATGATGAAATTATCCTTAATTATTAATACATTGACACATAAATTCAAAACTTCTGTTATTGAACCAAATAGATGAGATGCAAAAATATTCTATATTGTATACTTTGAAAACATTACATATCCGTATTTTCAACTATTTATTACAGATTACTTGTGAAATTAGCACTAGAATGACAAAAGGTGGTATCCAATGCTATTATTGAACGTCTTAGTTATATTAGCATTTCTTGACAAAATGATTGATTTCACATTAATAGTTATTTCTAATAAACGATAAAAGATAAATGTCTAGCTCACATATTTTTCATCAGAAATGAGTAACAATAATCATTACTTTTGTTCGTATACCAAAATTAAAAGATTTAAGGTACTTCCTTAACTTTGAAAATAGATATTTTATCGTTTTTCTGTATGTAACCTGATATACAAATTAAAATCTATGTACTTTTATAAATTCGAACTTAAGAAATGAAAAAAATACAGTCATAGGATGACTTTTGAAATTAATTGAAGATTTAAGATTACACTTACCAATTTAGCATCACTATATTCGATGCTTCCACGACCATATAGGAGATAAATGAAAAAGGAAAATAACTCAACTGACATATAGTCAACTATGAAAAAGAATGGATAGTGATTACTTTTTTCTCATGACTTATATAACAGCTGTTTCTACTGAACTTTAGTCGACCTTCACGTTCCTCTTTGAGAACGAATAGTTTCATCTCATATTGAATAACGACACGTTGCAAGGACATAGTTTCGAAGCACCCCCTTGAAAAATTCTTTTCTCATTCTCATGCATCTTTGCAATGTGACAAAATGAATAATTCATATACGCGTCGGTCTAAAATACCAATTTTCAAGCACTCTCTCACGTAAATCAGTGGGACGAATGCTTTCCCAACTACATTCCTTCCCAGAAAAAGCCAAAGTTCATTTTCTTTCAACGACTATATAATCTAGCACCGTTTTCATTACAATATTCATTTTTCATCTGCTCCAAAAGTAAATAGTCTACTTCTTCTTCTTCTAAACTACACAATAAACACTATTTCAGATTATCTACAGGTCTCAAACAGCAAATTCGGATATGAATCAATTATGTCAAATTATACAAAGATACAATCTAAAGAAGTTTCTCATCCATTACGAATTAATCAAGCATCCTTAATTCATCGAAACTGATTTTTCATCCGAAAAGCCTCCAAACTGAATAAACATTAGTCTTCGCTTGCAGCCAGAATCAGCAATGATTGGAAATCAAATCTATAACCACCAATTCATGATTCAAGATGGAAAATTCTTACAAATATGTACCTTCATATCTTATGATTCCGATCGGGCAAACTATCACGGAATCAGCAAATCTAAAGTAAGGCGACAACAACAAAATATTTCGTATTAGACAACACAAAAACAGTTGAGATAGATTCACCCACACCCTCGGCACATAGAAAACTATAAGGGTCATAAATTCATTTAAAGTGTTACAGAAACAAGAAAATTTTTCTTTTAAATCGTTGATTTCTATTACACCCGTGTAACATATAATATGAAAACTGTCCTCAAAACAATGAAATAGCATCGTCCCATATTAACAGTTCAACTAAAGTAGCGGACCAAAACTTACATAATGCAAAGTTACATAATAAACCTATTTCACAACAGATATTTCCTACTGCACCACGAGGAGGTCTCCTATTATTTTCTTTTACTAGTAAACAAGCTTTTTGCCATTTCAACAGAAAATATCACTATAGTTCTTTCGGCAGCAATTTTATCAGCTACTCCCTATGGATATAACAGCACTAACCAGCCTAGAATTCGTCTTAAGATGAATTATATTCTTCTAATTCATCTTCCGTTTTTTATAATAGAATAATCAAATTTTCGATGAATTTGATTTCAATTTGATAGTTTTCAATTGCAAACTGAATTTTGTTACTTCAAATTAGAACTTATTGAAATCGTAAGCCATCTGATGAGTCTTCTTGAGCAAAAGACGAAACCGGTCATGGCAGCTCATCTCACACCCTCAAGATTCGCGAACAGATGAAATGATTGCTTTACTTGAATTCCTTTACATCGTCATTTGAAACTCGCCCACACTCTCTTCGTGAGTTTTATATACAGATACTTGCCACTTGATAAACTATATCGAATAATAATCAAAAGCTTTAGTTTTGTGATAATTCATCTCACCCCTCACCCTCAAGATGATGCCGAAACGAGAGAACGTCCAGCTAGCTTATCTGTATTTTGTTCCAAAACCACTTAAGGTAATTTTTGAAAGTTCTTTCTTTCCTATCAATCTAAGTTCCGTTTGTATTCACAGGAAGGAATACCATCAAGACCGATTGTATCCTCAACGTATATGCCAACAACTGGCATTTCCAAGTTTCTTGATCGACTACTTCGACCGTTGTTTGATCGACATGTTCGCTCAACTACAACCATCGATGGTGTTGATCTCATTCGACGACTTCAAGCATACACTGCATGTGGATATTTGAAGCTACCGACCTATTTGTGCACATTTGACATCACAGATTTATATACCACGTTACCACAGGAAAAATCTCTCGATATTCTAACTGAATTTCTTCTAGAACATGGATATATCAAAGTGAATACAGTGTCCATTGACGCCATTCGGAAATTAGCTCGTCTCGTTCTCACAGAAAATATATTCACTTATGAGAAAAGATTCTATCGGCAAGTGGTCGGCGGTGCTATGGGCTCCGCATTTACTTTGACTTTAGCCAATGTTTTCATGTGGAAATGGGAAAAACGATTAGCTCAACAGCAGCTTAATACAAACGAAATCTATCGAAGGCGCGTTCAGCATCTTAGGAAAAGTGCTATTGTCTCAATATCCTTTATTTATCTTTTATAGGTATATCGATGATATCTTCTTTACTTCGAATCAACCACTGAACAAACTCAATGAAATATTAGATAACGTCAACGATTTCCATCCAAATATAAAACTAGTTCGGCAAATGGGTAAGAATGTATCATTCTTAGATGTGCTTATTGAAAATGATCATGGCACATTGAAAACATCTGTGTATCACAAAGAAGCGCCGAACTATACACAGTGGCATTTTATTCTGATCATCCTCATCATACTTTCAGAAATACCATTGATACAGCACTTCTGCTTGCTGTGCGCTATTCAGCTACACTATCAACTTTTCAAAAAGAACAACGTACAATCAAACTAATGCTTCTTTACAACAAGTAATTCGATCTATTTCTATACACTGATAAAAATTTTCGTAGAATGATAAACCCTCAAAAAATGGTTTATAACTGAAAAATTCGTTTATCAACGTGATCTACCCCTTGATCAACCCTTTTTTCTTGATAAATCCCAAGAAGGTATATTATTCGTTGCAAACTGATAAACCCAACTGTAACGGAAAATTGAAATGGAAATGAATGTTATTTCATTTCAGCTGCAGCATATTTCTTCTTTATTTTATTATTTGTGCTCACAAAGACAGATTGGAGGAATAGCACTATCGCTATTCTTCAATGTAGAAGATATTAACTACATTGTATCATACTCCAAAATGTATCGTATACAATACAGAACATAATCTTTTCTACA